TATTTACAGCCTAACCCTCAGGCAGGTGGATTTGGAAGTTAGCTCTGGAGGGCTTATTTCATACTTCAAGCTTAAGCTTGAGGACTCTGAGTTCTAATGAAAGAGACATCTGCTGGTTTGATATCAAGATGTTAGAAGCAGAAAGCTTACTGCCAAAGCTTCTAAGAATGGTCTTCCCCGACTTTCTACCCTCGGGCCCACTTGAAACGACTTAAAATTACAGCCTCTTCAAACCACAAAATGGTGATGCAATGACTTTGTTGGTCGCAAAATGGTGGCAGTGGAGACAGAGTTCAGCATAATTAGTTGCCCCCCCCTTTAAAAAGTGATTAATTATTTGGATTTAGTTACTTTCTTCTGAACATGAGGCTTCAAGAGGAAATACATCAGAGCATGGTGGCGCTGTGGGTTAAACCACAGAGCCCAGGACTTGCCGATCAGAAGGTCAGCGGTTCGAATCCCCGCAACGGAGTGAGCTCCCGTTGCTCGGTCGCTGCTCCTGCCAACCTAGCAGTTCAAAAGCACATCAAAGTGCAACCCCAGAGTCGGCCACGACTGGACCTAATGGTCAGGGGTCCCTTTACCTTTACTTTTATCTTTATGAGCTGCACTTAATTTTCTATTTGGCTATGAGTTTGTGTGAGCCATCCCACTGCCTCACCTATTGCATGAGGATATTTAATGGGGTTGTTGCAAAGATTAATGAGATAATTTAGATTAAGTGGTAGAAAGAGTTGCAAATAAACTATTGTATAAATGCTAAGGATCCAATCCATCCAAAGTTATGCACATTCCTTTGAAATCGATGGAGATTCAGAAAACGATGTATGTATCCTTATGAAACCAGATCAGAATTTTGTGAAAGTCTTTATGTTTCACAGTAGCTTTTGGAAATGATCATATTGTAGCAGCAGTCCTATACACACACATTTGGGAGTAAATCCCAATGAACCCAAAGTGATTTATTTCTGAGTAGATATGCACATGGTTGCGCTGTAGGTCTTGCACTGGTGTGTTTTCTTTCAGACTCTGTTCACTGGTGTGCAGCTCTCTCTCTGTGTGTATGCAATCCATTTCAGCCAAAATAATGCAAATTTCCCAGTGGAGCTGCATCCAGTAAAAGCACTTTTTACTCAAATGAGGTACAATATTAACTTGTGAAAATTAAACTGGATTTGGGGGGGGGGCAGCATGCTCAGCCCCAATGTCCTTGCCTTTTATTCATGCCAGCCTTTTAGACGTTCTGGTTCAGATATTCCCTTACAAGTAGATTGTGCCAGATAACCAGGTACTTCTCCCCCACCCTAACAAGAATGCTAACACTGTAAAGGCCTAGTATAAGAGAGGAAGCCAGGATTTACCATAGTGACCATTGTTCTGCTATCATCATCAATATTTTTAAAGGGGCCTAACGTACTGGATGCATCCAGAGATAAAAGTAAACAGGTTACTGCTTGCAGACTCACACCCTTAAATTCAAAACAAGAAATAATGACAGGGAGATGCAATAGGTCATTGTCTTCCTATAGGCTACCAGGTATGCTATGTAAGAGAAATATAGCTGGAGGATTTTAGAATCATAGAGTTGGAAAAGGCCACAAGGGCCATCGAGTCCAACCCCCTGCCAAGCAGGAAACAGAAATCAGAGCACTCCTGACATATGGTTGTCAAGCCTCTGCTTAAAGACCTCTAAAGACACCACACTCCTTGGCAGCAAATTCCACTGTCGAACAGCTCTTACTGTCAGGAAGTTCTTCCTAATGTTTAGGTGGAATCTTCTTTCTTGTAGTTTGGATCCATTGCTCCGTGTCCGCTTCTCTGGAGCAGCAGAAAACAACCTTTCTCCCTCCTCCATATGACATCCTTTTATATATTTGAACATGGCTATCATATCACCCCTTAACCTCCTCTTCTCCAGGCTAAACATGCCCAGCTCCCTTAGCCGTTCCTCATAAGGCATCATTTCCAGGCCTTTGACCATTTTGGTTGCCCTCCTCTGGACATGTTCCAGTTTGTCAGTGTCCTTCTTGAACTGTGGTGCCCAGAACTGGACACAGTACTCCAGGTGAGGTCTGACCAGAGCAGAATACAGTGGCACTATTACTTCCCTTGATCTAGATGCTATACTCCTATTGATGCAGCCCAGAATTGCATTGGCTTTTTTAGCTGCCGCGTCACACTGTTGGCTCATGTCAAGTTTGTGGTCAACCAAGACTCCTAGATCCTTTTCACATGTACTGCTCTCAAGCCAGGTGTCACCCATCTTGTATTTGTGCCTCTCATTCCCCCCCCCAAGTGCAATACTTTACATTTCTCCCCGTTAAAGTTCATCTTGTTTGTTTTGGCCCAGTTCTCTAATCTGTCAAGGTCGTTTTGAAGTGTGATCCTGTCCTCTGGGGTGTTAGCCACCCCTCCCAGTTTGGTGTCATCTGCAAATTTGATCAGGATGCCCGTGAGTCCATCATCCAAGTCGTTGATAAAGATGTTGAATAAGACTGGGCCCAAGACAGAACCCTGTGGCACCCCACTAGTCACTCTTCTCCAGGATGAAGAGGAACCATTGATGAGCACCCTTTGGGTTCAGTCAGTCAGCCAGTTACAAATCCACTGAGTGGTAGCATAGTCAAGACCGCATTTTGGTGTAATGGTGGTTCATTTAATTTTGCTCTTCCCTCCCCACCCACCCCAAATAGGAATAAAATAAAAATCTAGCAATGTGTGCTGATGCAGCAAACTGGATCCTAGAGTCTTGACATTGTGCATCTTCACGTGACTCTTTTTTCCTGAAATTTCCATAAAGTTTATAAGAAGTTGATAGACATCTAATCTATGGCTGCCATCCTATCCACACTTTTTCAGAAAAAGCCCCCTTGAATTCAGAAGGACTTGCTTCTCAGCAAGCATGCATATAAGGCTGCACTGCACAAATCTTTCAATCCCTGAATATTGTTAAGGCAGGAAAATGTCTTCCTCTTTTAGCAACTAAAACTAACGCACTCTTAGAAATGTTTTTGGCGGCTCTATGCACTAGTAAGACATCTGTTCACACATGAGCTGCTTTGTCTGGCAGATTTTTCCTGTGAAAAGATGATTTTATGATACTGTGCTGATGACATGGTTAATACATCCCATCTGAGGTATTAATTTGCCTGTCACTCTATTCATATCCCTATTGTCTTCTGATCCTTAATGCTGGTGTTCTGTTAATTTAAGCATAATGTTTCTTATACTTGAACAGAGTAGGGAATCCAATTCAGCCCAAGGGCCACATTCCCTTTGACAGATCTAAAAAATAAAATTGATAGGCATATATTATATAGTATATAACTATTTAGCAGCGTTAAAACAGCTTGGAAGCTGGAGCCAAACCTCCACCCATAGTTTCAATCACAGACCACTAAAGGTAAAGGTACCCCTGCCCGTACGGGCTAGTCTTACCAGACTCTAGGGTTGTGCGCCCATCTCACTCTATAGGCCGTGGGCCAGCGCTGTCCGGAGACACTTCCGGGTCACGTGGCCAGCGTGACATCGCTGCTCTGGCGAGCCAGAGCCGCACACGGAAACGCCGTTTACCTTCCCGCTTGTAAGCGGTCCCTATTTATCTACTTGCACCCGGGGGTGCTTTCGAACTGCTAGGTTGGCAGGCGCTGGGACCGAACGACGGGAGCGCACCCCGCCGCGGGGATTCGAACCGCCGACCTTTCGATCGGCAAGCCCTAGGCGCTGAGGCTTTTACCCACAGCGCCACCCGCGTCCCGTCCACAGACCACTAGCATAGCTTAAAAAAGGAAAATAAAATACACAGGAGTACCACTGGTAAAATAAACAAAGGTTATTCACTTACAGTTACTTCATGTTCACAAGGATGGCTTTGGATTCTATGTCAACACCGTGAGCAATAGTTTCATGGCTGCCTTGTACAAGAGAAGAGGTGAGGGGAAGAGCAGAAGGAAGTGACAGAACATATACATTTGGTGAGAAACCACAAGGTATATTTCCCTGACTGTCTGTTAGTCTCAGCACTGCCCTCTACTGACTGGAGACATGCAAGGTTGCTTATGCAGTGGTACCTTGGTTCTCGAACGTAATCCATTCCAGAAGTCCATTCGAATTCTGAAACGTTTGAAAACCAAGGCACAACTTCCAATTGGCGCAGGTGCCCCGGAAACAATAGTAGACAGCCACATCGGATGTTAGGCTTCTGAAAAATGTTCGAAAATTGGAACACTTACTTCCGGGTTTTCGGCATTCGGGATCCAATTTGTTCATTAACTAAGCCGTTCGAGAACCAAGGTTCCACTTTACCTAGCACCTTCTGAGTGGGACCAGAGGAAAAAGTGGGTGGAGCAATGAATGTGAACTGCCCTTTTCTACAGCAGGCTTATGAAACAGAATGAAGATCTGTCCATCCAAGTGAAAATGCAGTTATACACACCATTCTTCACTCCCACCAACCAAAAATGCAGTCCTTCCTAACGCAAACACCCACCACACATACCTAAACCCTTTAAAAAAGGGATGGAGAACCCTTGGCCTTCAAGCTGTTTCTGAAGTACAATTCTTATCACTTTGCCATGCTTGCTGGAGCTGATGAGAGCTGTGGTACAGCAACACCTGTGGGGCCAAAGGCTCCCTACACCTGTGCAAAGTTACAGATCTACAAATTTGTCCAGGGTAGATATCCAGGATACCATACTGGGCATCACAAGGGGCAACGTGGTCATCTGCCTGCACAGCCAAATGAAAGTTCTGTTAACCTCACTCCATGCTGAAACTCAGTTTGGACATCAGCTGGTAAGATGCAGGTGCATTAAAACTGTGATTGGTGTGATAAGTCTTACAGCTTCATCAATGCAAATATTATTTGCTTTGGTATAGGAATCTTTACAAGATACTCAAGTTATATGATGAACTCCAGAAATAGTGTTAAAATGTGAACCTAGTCCGCACTGAATGTAGCTATTGACTCTGGTTGATACTGTTGTTTTTCTTCTTCTCAGACATACAGCAATGAAATCAATAAGCTTCTGGTCATTCCTCGTATTACTTGAGGTTTTCCCATCAACTGCTTGGGGATGGATGGAATCCAATGGGAGCAAGGAATTTTATTCTGATACTGCGAGGCTAACACATGAGGTATGGTCTAACTTTTCCTTGCTTTACAATGGCATTTCTTCTCTGTTCTTCTCTACGTTGCTATACATCCTTTCCTGAAACCCAGATTATTATTATATTATATATATTATTATATATTCAGAATGTGAATAGTCTATACTATACAGGTGGTAGTATGATTTAATGGCACAATGTCAGTTTCCATGTTCTGCTTTAAAAACAACAATACAACTTTACTAATCAGATTTATATCCCAACTTTCCTCTGTTGAACTATATATATCCTATATGTGGTTTTCCATTTAACTTCAACTACAAACATAGGAGGTGTTGACTTTTCCCAGAGAGATGTTGACTTGCCCCAGACTACACATAAACTTCATGACTGAGTGGGGACTTGAGTCAAGATCCCTACAACTCAAAATAGCCATTTATTCTGATTCAGCAGTTCTCTGCTGTTGTTCAAGAGTCCAGGAAAGCCCAGACGTATGGCAAACCTAAGATCCACCCCACCCAACAAGATGCTGCTGCTTTTCACTGATCTAAAAATTAATTTTCTCATGAGCTCTGGCATGAGAATGGCAACTTCGAGTGAGCTTTACCTGGGCTTGAAATAGAAGTGAGAAAAATGACAGGCACAGAAATTATCTCAATTAGCTACCGTATGGATGAGCAGATGATAGTCTGAGTTGGGCTACCAGTGCATCTCATTTGTGTATCACATTGTTTCATAACAGGACAAATTTAAACTGCCAACATCTGATTGTGAAACAGAGCTTCCTACCCAATAGTAATAATTCTGTTCTTTGCTTTGAGTAATATTTTGATTCATCAACACCTTTTATAAAATGCAATATGTTCCTAAATGCAAACAACATAAGTCCTCTGTGTTTATGCAAAATTTACAAATCAGGGTTGCACAAATATCCTGGTCCTCATGTTCACAATATTTAAATTAGCTTACATTTCTTCCCTTCTATATAGTGACAAGAAAGTTAAAAGCTATCTGCTAGTCTCTTTGGGTTGTAAATTAATGGCAATACTAATTTAGGTCCATGTAGGTCCATGGTTATACTCTGATTGGAACTTTCTAACCACATGGAATAAAATTCAAATAGTCATTTTTGAATATTGTATCAAGGTAGTCTCCAAATCACTCTGAACTGAAACAGGTTGTTCTCCAAAGCAGTGAATAGGGATGCAAACTATATCTCATGTTTAGTAAGGTAAAGGTAAAGGGAACCCTGACCATTAGGTCCAGTCGTGACCGATTCTGGGGTTGTGGCGCTCATCTCGCTTTATTGGCCAAGGGAGCCGGCGTACAGCTTCCGCCTCCTGTGGCCAGCATGACTAAGCCGCTTCTGGTGAACCAGAGCAGCACATGGAAACGCCGTTTACCTTCCCACTGGAGCGGTACCTATTTATCTACTTGCACTGGCGTGCTTTTGAACTGCTAGGTGGGCAGGAGCTCGGACCGAACAACGGGAGCTCACCCCGTCGTGGGGATTCGAACCGCTGACCTTCTGATCAGCAAGCCCTAGGCTCTGTGGTTTAACCTGCAGCACAACCCGTGTCCCTCTCATGTTTAGTATACACCCCTAATTTCAATGGCCCTTAAACTCAAACAATGTATATATAGGACAGCAATATTAGCTCCAGAAAGGAAAAACAACAACATTTTGTTGTTTTCTTTCCTTTGAACATTTGCATCCTGCCCTTCAATTCAAAGTATATTCTAGGTGGCTGAACAATATTTAAAGTGTAGAAATGTATAGATACCACATGAAACACCACGTGGCATACACAAGAGTAAGAACGAAAGATAAAATTGCAGCATATGGCTGGAGGTTTAAAAACCTAGGGAAACAAAAAGGTAGTTAGAAGAGCATGATTTTAAGATTCAACATGCAAGGTCAACGAGGACAACAATCTGCCAAAAATATTAGTACTTCAACATTGCCTATAGTCTGACGAGTGTTCTCCTGAACTACGAAGTTACATTCAACATTGCTGCTTTTCAACATGAATACCTTTCAGTCACAGAAGTACAATCAGGGCCTACCTGTGGAGCAAGACTTATTTCCTTAGCAACCAATGCACTCTTATGTTCAAATACCTGTCAGAATTGTCCTTTTGTGTACTTTGGAGAGTTCTGGCAGAATGGAAGCTGTGACGGTTTAACCACATACAACACTTTTCTAGTTCCAAACACTTCCCGACAGAGATGGTCAGATTTTCCAGAAGCATCTCCCCAAGAACATGGCACCTCATGAAAGACTACCCTGTTTTATAAGACTCAACAATCGGTGACTATTCTACAAGTGTAGCAACAAAGGGAAAGGACTTAAAAATATACATCCACTGTACAGTAAGTCATTGGCCTGCTTTAAAACTATCAGGTAATCATTTCATTAAGAAGACTTTGGGTGTCTCTTAACAGAAGGACTTGCTGGAAATACCATCAGTGGATTGGTTGCATGTCGAGGGTGGAATAGAGACAGGTTTGTGCATGCCTGTGAACCATCATAATGTATCCCGTGGAACTTAGAATTCTAGAACTGTAGAGTTGGAAGGGACCACGAGGGTCATCTAGTCCAACCCCCTGCAATGCAGGAATCTTTTGCCCAATGTGGGGCTCAAACCCATGACCCTGAGATTAAAAGTCTCATGGTCTACTGACTGAGCTATCCTGGTAGCAGCGGTGGAGGAAGCCTCTCCGCCCTTAGGGGTGGGGGGAACGGGGCAAACCGACCATAGGGGCGGAGTGAACTGCCCATAGGGGCAGAGTGTGCAGCACCCATAGGGCTGGAGCACATGGCGCCCAGCGGGGTGGGGCGGGACACAACACCCTTAGGGAGGAGCAGGGAGGGGTGGGCTGGGCAGCACCCATAGAGATGGGGTGCGCCACGGGGCCTCAGCCACCCTACAGCTCCGTGCCCTCTGACTTTATGAAGGGGATCTTAGGAGATCGTGCTGGTAGGAAGAGCTGAAAAAAGCACCTATACATAACACCACGCAAAACACATTAGAGTCCAGTACAGAGATGGAGCTACCTTAAATATTTCTTAGCTTTCTGTTTAGGCCACATCTTCACTACACATTTAAAGCAGTCATAACTTTAAACAGGGCTCATAAACAGGGTTTTAATCCCACAGTTCAGTTTAACCACAGTTCTGGGTTCAGACATAACAACAAACCATGGTTAGTTGAGCCAGAAGTGAAAACTTATTGTAGCTGCATTATTGAAACCATTGCATCAGAGGCTTCAACCCTAAGCCCAATTATCTGCAATAGGCCCCATTGAATTCAATACAGTGGTACCTCAGGTTACAAACATCTTGGGTTACAAACACTTCAGGTTACAGACTCCACTAACCCAGAAATAGTACCTCGGGTTAAGAACTTTACCTCAAGATGAGAACAGAAATCGTGCGCTGGCAGCAGCAGGAGGCCCCATTAGCTAAAGTGGTACCTCATGTTAAGAACAGTTTCAGGTTAAGAACGGGTCTCCAGAACGAATTAAATTCATAACCAGAGGTACCACTATACAACTGACTTCTGAGTAAACATTGCTGAGATGGCCCTACTTCCAGATGTTTAGTCTTTAGCCTTTAGTCTTCTACCCCTTGGATTTGTATAATTACCGGTAAGTTTCAGGCTTTCTATCCAGAGACAGAACAATCTGTACCAGCTCTTTAAGAACAGTAGTAAATAATAATAATAATAATAATAATAATAATACCCCACCCATCTGACTGGATTTCCCCAGTCACTCTGGACGGCTCCCAAGAGAATATTAATACAGTGGTATGAAAGCATTCTTTTTAAATACATCTGTCATGCTGCTTTCAGCTCTGTCCCTCTCACTTTATTTGGTATAGTGTAGCAACTAATGCTGCAGGGATAATCCCATTGGGGTCATTAAATGGGACTTACTTCTGAAGAATCATTCAGAGGATTGTGTTCTGCAGCTGTGAGCTATGTGCAAAAGGAGCACCTGTTCCATAAATCACGTCCTCACGTTCTCTTGCTTATACCCTTCTCTTAGTCCTGGCTTACTTTACAGAGTTGTTGTAAGAATTCCAGAAACAACATGCAGGAAATGCTTTGAAACATGGTGAGAGTGTTTTAATGCATTAGGTGAACGAGTGTTTGTGTTATAAATATTCCTGCTAAATAATATGTGACAGTATAGTAATCCATACTGTCGGGGGGGGGGGAATGGATGGGTGGGGACCCTCTCCCCCCCCCGAAATCTGACACTGTGTTTTAATAATACTTTCCTTATCAGCAGGAACCATACTTCAGCATTAATCAAGAGCTGGTAACACAAAGTGGTCATTGTTTTTTTAGCTTGACAGCTGGAGGCAGTCTTTCATAACAGTAGAAAAGCTATTTGTGCCGAGATGTTGTCAAACTGTATCAAGGTTCACCCAGGTGTCTTGAAGTGCTTCAGTTCAGGTGCAATAAGGCTATGCACTAGCTTCATAAGATAGCATTGTCATATAGAAAAACATTTTTAAAATGATGGCAATTCATACCTGATAATGCTACCACAACCTCCTTTTGGAAGTGCAGTTTGCACAGCAGTGAATATCTTGCAAACAATGCTCCTCAAAAGAGCAGGCGACAGTGACTTTGGCATAAACAATAATTATGTATTTTAAATTCATTTATATTGCATTCATGGGGGTGGGGAATAATAGATTCCGAAAGTGAGGTCTGAAGAGAAAATGTGGTGCGTGCTAAACGGCATTCAAAAGGATTTGCAGAATCTTGTTCATGAAACGGTTTGGCAAAGCAAATTAACGTCCTGAAACCAAGACGACACATCAAAACATATGACCTGTGCCATTGCAAAATTAGATTTTTAGCTCTCATTATATGCTGTCTTAAAATGATGCCTAGGAAATAAACCCCATTTATAAGCCTCCATTTCAAAACTTTGGTGCAATATTACTCTTCCTGAGGCAAGATATTTCACTATCATTTCTTTCAAACCATTTGGCCCTGGATTTGTATGCAATCAAATATATTTAGGAGAAATGTGAAGGATAAGTGGGAACCCCCCCCACACACATTAAGAAACACTTGAATATTAAATTACCTTTGTGCTTTTGTTCTGGGGGTATGCAGGGGTACGCATACCCCTAAACATTTTGTGAATCTTTGTACTTTTGTCCATTTACTGTATTTATTTTCCCCGATTTGAACTATAAAATGGTGATTTTCTTGAGTCAAAATGAGAGTGCCCCTAAACATTTTTTTAGAAAAAAATGCATTGCCTTATTTTTATATCTGTGTATGTCTTGAAATGGTTGTGAGAAACACAGAGTGCACACACTACAGCTCTTAAAGTTGTGGTAGAGAATCTTGGACCTGGGGACGAAACACGGTCCTCTAGTTCTCTCTATCTTTATTATGACTTAATTGATGTTTACTAAATATATCTCTGGTCCTTTGAACTCTTCCTAGGCCACTCCCCTCATTGCTTTGCACCACATGTTTTTGCTTGGCTGGAATGTATCTTCAAGCTTGGATCATGTCCCTTACTTGTGAATGGAGAATTTAGAGGGGTATGTGCTTATTTGTGTAGAAAGCAGCCTACTGTACAAACATAAAGTTTGCATGTGTTGCTCTGTCCACTTGACGTTTTACATCAATTTTAGGTACTTTATGTTTAATTCCCCCTTAGTCTGTGCCACTCTGAGCAATACATGGTGACTATATGGGAGAGTAAAGCAAGCTTCTTGTATCAGGCAAAAATCTAGGATCTTGGTTCAGAGTCAATGGCTACAGTGAGCTTACACAGGCCCACATCAAGATTGTGGCCTCTCCTTTGTTGTTTAGTCGTGTCCGACTCTTCGTGACCCCATGGACCAGAGCACGCCAGGCACCTCTGTCCTCCACTACCTCCCGCAGTTTGGTCAAACTCATGCTGGTAACCTCGAAAACACTATCCAACCATCTCGTCCTCTGTCGCCCCCTTCTCCTTGTGCCCTCCATCTTTCCCAGCATCAGTGTCTTCTCCAGGGAGTCTTCTCTTCTCATGAGGTGGCCAAAGTACTGGAGCCTCAGCTTCACGATCTGTCCTTCCAGTGAGCACTCAGGGCTGATTTCCTTAAGAATGGATGCGTTTGATCTTCTTGCAGTCCATGGGACTCTCAAGAGTCTTCTCCAGCACCATAATTCAAAAGCATCAATTTTTCGGCGATCAGCCTTCTTTATGATCCAGCTCTCACTTCCATACATCACTACTGGGAAAACCATGGCTTTAACTATACGGACCTTTGTTGGCAAGGTGACGTCTCTACTTCTCAAGATGCTGTCTAGGCCTGTCATTGCCCTTCTCCCAAGAAGCAGGCGTCTCTTAATTTCGTGGCTGCTGTCACCATCTGCAGTGATCAGTGGCCTCTCCTAGCACACTGCTATCCACTGTTTTTCCTTGACAAAGACTTTGAGCTTTGAACAGCTGTGTGATGGGCAGGAATTCAACATGTGTGCCTTCCCGTTATGGCAGCTCTGCGCTGGATAAAGCTATATGTTGGATTAATAGTAAATACAACGTCTACAAATATTGTAGAAGTTAGACGTATAGCAATAATTTATAGTTTGAAATATATTCAGATGAGTTCTGTTGTGTTGGTAAATATATATTTTGAAGTGGTTCACCAACTGCCTTTCAAATGTAGGAGTTCACATTTTGCTAAGGGTTCATAAATCACTTTGAAGCTTGACACTGATCTTGCTAATAAGGTGTTGGTGTTTCTATCTAGAAATGTCTCGATTGACTGTAAATTCCTCTTTGAGAGCATGTTCCTGCCTGTACTTGTACACAAAATTTCTCAGTGTTGGTGTCAATAATAAGACAACTTGAATTAGAGTGTAAGTATGTAAGTCTATGATCATTGTGCTCATTCCCATTTTCAATTTCTTCTACAATTGAAACGGAAACTGAATGGGAAATGAGGTCTGTGAGGCTACTGCAACATCCATTGTAACCTGATACTTAAGTATCTACTTCAACATATGCAAGGACATTGAGAAGAATTAACTGCAGGAAAATGGCCAAGCACTGTCACCTCCTGATGGTGTTTCCTTAGCTTCACTCTGCTACTGTACTATGATATAATCATGTTTACCAGAAATGAGACCCACTGATTTCAGTAGAATTTTATTTCCACCTGCATATCTTCATGATCTTGTTTGCGTGCCGCGGTAAATAATAGTTTATGGTTTACTGTGAACATAGAATCATAGAATTGTAGAGTTGGGAGGGACCACGTGGGCCATCTAGTCTAACCCCCTTCAGTGCAGGATACTTTGCTGAATGTGGGATTCAAACCCACGACTCTGAGACTAAGAGTCTCATGCTTTACCAACCGTGGGTGTCCGGGGCCATGGTGCCATGCAGCGTGCATGACCCTGGTATTGAAATATGTGGTTGCCCAGTCCCTTCATGGAGAATTTTGTGGGTGCTCAGGCACCCAGGGAGTTGGCACCTATGTTACCAACTGAGCTGTCCCAGGCTGATGTGAGCTATGTTGCTCCTCCCCACTAACATAGAGAAGAAACATAACATAATCCCTGGCTTAGCATTGTGCCTCAAACCAGGCTTGGTCGTTTGTTTCACTCACTGAAACAAACCACAGTCTGTAAACCAAGGAAAATTATTGACTACCTATTGTAGTTTGGAGCAAAATAAACCATGATCAGAGGGGAAGAACAAAGCAGCCCAGATCAGACACAAACCATTCACTGTGGCTTCTGGGACATAAGAGGTAGGCCTATATTTTCCCCTGTAGGCGACTGTCTGAAAAATGTTTAATTGGAAGCAAGTTCTTTTTTAAAAATGGAGCATATCTTAAGATAACCATGATTATAATCAGGCTGTTACTTTCTCTGGCTCTCAGTATCTTTGTATATGTCACTTTTGTGAATGCAAACATTTTTATTTTTAATGGAATCATTAAATTAGTATTAACCATCTGATTTAATGGAAATGTGATCTTGTGAAAAATAAATGTAAGCAGAGTGAAAAATAAATATATTATTCTTTGTAGGAATCCAGAAGCTTTGAAGGCACAAGAAGAAAGGGTAAGCAAATAGATTTTTATTTTTAATATTTTTTCTGGAAAATGTAATCATTCAGATTTAAAATAGGCATCTTTTTTAACATTTTAAATGCTTACCGGTTACATAGCATTTTTTTTTAAAAAAAATATCATCCCCAAATGTTGCTCTGTAGGAAAATCTTATCAATATAATATGCTCAATATTGAGAACTGATTTCAGTGTATGAAACTTTTCACTGTCTCTTAATTGTAACAAACAACTGTTTAGATTCAACTTCACAGCCATAAATGTCTTGGAACTTTATATGATAAACTCTATTTGATGTTCTGTGAAAATTCATTTCACAAAAGGGAACAAAAAGAAGCTGCCTATAAAGGAGATTGATAGTTCAAAACCCGTAGACATAAATAGTGTCCGTTTGGTGAATATTTCTACATAGCATCCTGTTCTGATACACTGGTATATTAATTCACTTTATCAAACTATAGCACGTGTAGCAAATAACAATGAGCACAAACAGCTAAGAAAAAATGCTACTCTGTTTTAACTTGAAAAATTGTGGTAATATGCTTGTTGTACAATGTGGTTATGCACAAAGGAATCAAAGTACAGGGAAACACCAAACCGCCCCATGGTTTCATAGTTTTAATTGAAGGGGGTTTCACAGAATTGCACTAGGCTGGTGTTGCGGAAAAACTGTTTGCTTTATGTTTGGGAAGGGCTGTTTGTAAACGTTCATTTGGAGGTTACTTGGTTATAGATGAGGCTAGTTTTCTAGATGGATTAGTACTGGAAGCAAAGCGTGTTGCAGTTGTATGGATTGATGGCCTTCATTGTTGCTCTACAGCAATCCATCTCTGGTCAGTGCGTATAACTTGATAAAATGCAGAGGCTAAAATGTTTGAGTCCGCTGTGTGTTGTAATCATCGCCCGTGTCCATCTGTACCCAGTTGCCTTGAACAACCATTCACTTCGCTTTGCTTCACCTTTCAGTGGAGAGAGGGGGAGCAAGCACAACAAGTCTAGTAAGCAGCTGTTTTAATTCAGCTCTTGTCAACTGCCTCTCAAGTTAAAACCAAAAGGTTATCGGCAAAACGTCTCAGACAGTTGTGTGATTGCATTGTGATTGATGGCTGTCTAAGGACATGGAAAGAGTCATGAAGCGCTGACTAACAGCAGCAGCCAAATGCATTTCTGCCCTGCGAGCACAAGGTTGCAGCCTGTGGGCTGAGATTCTGTGGTCATGGGAGGGGGGAAATGTTGAGAGAGGGGAAACTGGAAACAATAACGGATTCCAGGGTGTGTTGACATTAGGAGTATATGAATTGCTCAATTATTGGTTTTTCTCTCTTTTTTCATTTTTCAAATCTTAAATTCAGGTTGCCTATTTCTGCATCTGCATCAGTGAGGTCCCGCTGCACTCCAAAAGCTTCAGGGATCTTTGAGGCTGCTGGTGGGGGAAAGCAGCACTTCCCCCACCACCAGCCCCACAAGCTCGGGGGGCAGCGGCAAGGCTGCGTGCAGCCTTTGCGCTGTTCCCTGACCTGCTCTTGAACGCACCTTGTTTTAGAGGGGGAGAACAAGAAAAAATTTTTTTCCTCCTGTTCTCCCATGGTCCTATGCGTCCTATAGAGCGAAAAATACGGTATATATTTTCTCTAATTTACACATTTTTGTAAGCCATTTATTTCAATGCAATGCATTTTTGCACACCGCTTTAACTGATATACAGATTTCCATGCACACGGTCCTCTAATATATGTGTTTTGGAGAAGTGAGGTAGTGATCTGTTTACAAAATTTGGAGATAATCAAATTCCAAATCATAGATGTGTTTCAGTTCACATCATGCTTTGGGAAGTGTGAATTAGGTGGCTTCACATTACAATGCAATCTGAAATGAATCCCCACCCCCTTTCCCTAGTTGGCACAGATAACATAATGTGCAAAACTGGGACAGCAATATATAAGGGGTGAACAAATACCTTCAGATTTCCATGTTTTCTTATTAATTGGAAGCTGTCTCAGGCTGGTCTTTATTAACACAGACAATGGACAGCTGGCTGAAAAATGGCTATCAAAGAGCTCCACTCTATTTACTGTTAACTTTTCAGTTTTGTTTAACAGATGTTTCTGGAATGCCTAATATATCTCTGTAGAAATGTGAAGTGGGAAACAGTTCTCCAATAAATAGATGACTATAATTCCCTGTTTTGTCTGCACTGTGTTTTAGATCAGGCTGTAAAACATCAGCGTACAAATTTTCTTGTAACTGAAGGGCACCACATGGGCACCTGCTCTTGTCCATACTTGCAAGAGTTTCAAACAAACGGGGGGGGGGCGGGGGGAGGCAAGCAGCTGTGACTATAATTGAATAGGCCTTTATTGAACTCCAAGAACTCTAAGTCTTATGATGCTTTGCTACAAATGATCCAATAAATGGGTACCTAAGAACTATGAGATGTCTTTCCTTGAAAGACTGAAATGACACCCGTTTTTTTTCTGAATCTTGCTTTCATTTTGAATCTCCTCAACAGGCAATGGAGGACTTGAATGAGTATCGCAGGCCATAAACTTGGAAGTATAGCCACTCTGCAGGTGTGACTGGGGCATGGCAATATTGTGAGATGCCAGCAAGTCTAAGCCTTACTTCCCCCCTTTCCCCCTTTAGAAGGCAATCCCACAGCTAATATGTGGGATGTGTTAATGTCTGCCATCTTGCAGCTCTTTGGTGTAGTGCTATCCCTTGCTGCTATTGCCCACTCTCATTGACTGCATACCAATGCATGGCCAATTCTGAATAAACCAATAGTCCCAAGCTGATTTAGTGAGGACTATATCCTCACTAAGACGGCATGAATAAGCAAGCTATCAAACAGGCTGTTAGCATTACTTGCCTCAATCTTCCTTTGGATCTTTGTGACAAAAAAACGGCTCCCAGAGTGGCTTTCATATCACAGAAAAGGCAGTCCCTGACCCCAGGTTTACAATCTACAAAGACAAGACCCAACAGGGGAATGGACTGGGAGAGAAGAGGAAATAGACAAACTCTGGTTTAAGTTGTTCTAAAGACCAACTAGGATGGAAAAAACCAAGAACAGGAGGCACCAACAGTTGTTTGTCAGCTGTACAGGTGGAGTGGCCCTGCATCCCTTCTCTTGTTCTTTCTTATAAACTGCCCTGAGATCTTTTTGGCAAAGGTGGTATATATACATTTTTGAAGAAACAAGACCTGTGACACATTGGGAACTGGATACAGAGGTTTGCTCAAGGTACTAACTATTGAGTATTTTTTGTTCTAACTCCTCCCTCCAAACATATTTTGGGAAGGGCTGTAGCTCAGTGGTACATCATCTCCTTTGCATGCGGAAGGAGGTTCAGTCCTCAGGTTCAGTCCTCAGCATCTCCTGAGCTAGATGAACCAATTGTCCGACTCAGAATAAGGCAGTTTCCTATGCTCCTATGCCAATTATTATTTTTTTCCTAGTTGTCTACACCTTCCAGAGAGATGAAGGGATAGTGGGGTTTGTGCGAGAGGTTATAATACTGTCATTTTTACATTGAATTTGAATGGTATAAATAGCTGTGGAAGGAACAGAGAAGGATTGCTCCTTCTCTCCCTCCCCACCTCAGCCTTTGCAGTTGTAGTCATATTTTGTGACATTGTGTTTGCTTTCATCAAACACTTTTTCCAATACCATCTGTCAAAGCAAGCTCCCTTGAATCGTAGACAGCAGCACAAACAGTCGGATGTGAAGAGATTCTTCAGTGCCAGCCTGAACTCTGCCTATCTGTAATCAAAGTGTGTTTGGAGATTTACAAGCAGTGGCAAGGAAGTCAACAGCAGAATGTTACTCAGCCTGATAAATATATGGCTGGTCACAGAAAATATCGGAGGGGATTAGCGAAACTGGTGTGGGATTTTTTATTCTTCTCTTCATATCAGCAGATACTGAAGCACTTGCCCATCTGCCCTGATCTTCTCCCATAACAAAAAAGTCCTAAATAGAAAAAATAAATAGAAAACAGGATAGCCAGGTTGGTGATCTTTTGGAAGAGAGTGTGTTCATCTGGATATGTCTAGTGCACGTAGCAAAGGTTTGATTGAAGCTCTGGACTTGGGGCTCAAAGTTGTTGTAAGAGGCAAAGAAGTGGTCCTCAGCAGTAGCAGATGGCGTCCATTAGGACTAGTAGGGAGGAAGGCAAGGAGCCAAGGGATAAGTGGAGCCAGAGCCAATGACAAGTCAAGCCAACTAAATCTATTGCTACCCCCGTTCTCCTCCCCGCTGCTAAGGAACAGGAAGCAGATAGGCAGCACTATCCCCTAGGTTGGTTGTAAGTAAGAAAGCAGGTAGGTGGTGGCTAGCTGAGGACAGCCTGAACTAGGAGGGGCAATGCCCCATTCATCCAAACTGAGCCGCCTCCACTGGTCCTCAATTCACAATGGTTACTTCAATACAGAGCTTCTGAAAGCAGTGCCCCTCCACAATAAGCTGGATGCTGAATTAAAGCTATATTTCCACATAGCACGTCACATGGTGCACTGCTATCATTCAGCAATGCTCTTCCCCATGGTCAACATCCTGCTATACAGTTGTACAAAATGGGTGTCCCTTTATACAGTGGTGCCTCGCAAGACGAAATTAATCCGTTCCGCGAGTCTCTTCGTCTTGCGTTTTTTTTGTCTTGCGAAACACGGCTATTAGTGGCTTAGCGGCTATTAGCGGCTATTAACGGCTATTAACGGCTTAGCGGCTTAGCGGCTTAGCGGCTATTAACAGCTTAACGGCTTAGCGGCTTTAAGAAAAAGGAAACAAACTCGCAAGAACTCGCAAGACGTTTCGTCTTGCGAAGCAAGCCCATAGGGAAATTCGTCTTGCGGAACGACTCAAAAAATGGAAAACCCTTTCGTCTAGCGAGTTTTTCGTCTTGCGAGGCATTCGTCTTGCGGGGCACCACTGTACTAAAGAGCAAAGACTTTTGGTGTAGTGGGAGATGCCCATGAAGGAGGAGAGGAGGGTA